TCCAAGTCTTCGGTACCAAGTCCCAAGTCTGAGTCCCTATTAAAAATAAGGTTTTTACCCGCCAAGGGGGTGGGTGGGTTCTGAGTCAATGGGGGAGGAAACCCCAAGTGTGTTTTTTTTTCCCATGGGGGTGGGTGGGTTCTGAGTTGTGAGCCAAGTCTGAGTCAATGGGGGAGGAAACCCCAAGTTAGGTCTGATTTGAGTCGCTGGTGCAGCTTATGTCCAACGTCACAGCAAGTCTCACGACTTGAGTGCCCATCTTCCTTCTTCCCTCTAACTTTCCGGACAATCCTCACAGTAGCTGGGGAAGAAATGGATTTACCCAGGAACAGTGTAATTTTACTAGATGACTCTCTTGTAATACAACTTATTTGAGATTGGTTTGATCTTGAATGGGCAATTAAGATCTATTAACTGTTGAAAAAGAGACCTAGTACTCCTTTGTTGATACAGACTGAGCCAGTCACCTAGATCTTTGGACTCTCTTCTTGGAGGAGGGATGCCTGTACGGACTGCCATGATGAGCACCACCACTTCTAGGTTTATCATGGCACTGTTGGCTGTATCCAATGTTAATGTCCCCCCCCCCAAAAAAATGGCAAGAGTTGTGGATACTCCACAAGCACTTGTGTTCGCGGAACAAGTGGAACAAGTATCACCAACACCATTGAGCCTGGTAAAGTTGTAATATATGGTAGAACAGCAAATAGAATGCCTTGAGGAACTGGGATGTTCTGTGCAAAACTTTGATAGAACAGCTTGCACAGTTTCTTGCACAGGCAGCAGAGCTTGGAAATATTACGATTTGGGAGACTATAATTCCCATGCTGGTTGGGGGATTAATTTGGAAGACTATAACTCCCATGCTGGCTGGGGGATTTTGGGAGCGGCAATAGAAAAAAAAGGAATATTGCCAAGCACCGACGGAAGGAATGAAAATTTGACATTTGCGCAGGGATGAAACATTCTTTCTGCAAGCAGTAGAAACTTTGCAGTAGTGGTATCACACCATTGGATACAACTGTTGGATTCGTTGGTAATCTTGAAGATCAATTACTGCAGCGCTCTCTATGTGGAGCTGCTTTTGACCACTTTATGAAAGTTGCAGCAGGTGCAAAATGTGGCTGACCGGTTGATCTCAGGAGCTTCTGGATGCAACCATACCTCCCTGATTCTGGCAACCCCTGCACTGGTCTGCTTTCATGCCAAATTTAAAATGTTAATTTTAACTTCTAAGGCCCTGACCTGCTACTTATCGGAGCCCACTGCACTGGTTCCGTGTCTGCTTTCATGCCAAATATAAATGTTAATTTTAACTTCTAAGGCCCTGACCTGCTACTTATCGGAGCATCTCTCCCTAAGATTTTCTACCTGGACCACTCAATCATCTCAGGCTTCATTGCTGCAGGGGGTTACTGTGAGAGAGGCCTGGAAAACAAGCACCAGGAACGGGGCCTTCTCAGTACTGCACTGGTTCCGTGTCTGCTTTCATGCCAAATATAAATGTTAATTTTAACTTCTAAGGCCCTGACCTGCTACTTATCGGAGCATCTCTCCCTAAGATTTTCTACCTGGACCACTCAATCATCTCAGGCTTCATTGCTGCAGGGGGTTACTGTGAGAGAGGCCTGGAAAACAAGCACCAGGAACGGGGCCTTCTCAGTGCTGCCTGTAACATTGTTGAACTCACTGCCTCTTGATGTATGCCAGCCTCCCTCCCTTCTATCCTTCAGGAAGCCGATTAAAAATGGAGCTAGTCAAAGAGGCATTCAGGAACATCCACCTCGTGTGAGAGATTTCCTGACCTTGTGTAGCTTTATTTGATATACAGTAACTGTCACTATTGGGTGTGTTTGTGTTATGTTACATTGCACTTATGTTTGGTTTTGTTATTGTCATTGTTATGTATAATTTTGGGTTTGATGTTGTGAGTATGTGTTTGACTTTTGTAAACTGCCTGGAGAAGTGTGACTTCTTACTAGATGGGCAATCTATAAATACAATCAATCAATCAATCAATCAATCAACAAACCTAAATATGGTTTCAGGGCTTACATCAAAGGGCAGCCATGAGAGACAGAGGATTTTTCAAGAAGTAGCTCTATATTTGAATCACTCAATCTGTATGGGAAAAATGTATGAACTTTTTTTATTTGGCTTTCAAATCCGTCTTTTTGTGTGATATAACATTTTAACCAGTGTTTTTCTCATGTTATAATGCTTTGGCTTTCAATTGTGATTTTATTGATTGTTGATGCATTGTTTAGTACTGGTTGGATGGAAGCCGTCCCAAGAGAGTGTTACCCTGCAAGTCAATCTATAAATGATTTTTTAAAGGAACGAGAACATTAAGACGAATTTATTTGGAGAACGGTAGAGAGCAAAAGAAAGGGGGGAGGGGACAAATAACCAGGTTGTCAATCCCAGGAAGAAGTGGTTAGAGACTTTGAAATGAACTAATAATGAATAGAATGTGAAATGCAGACTTCAGCCTTTCTCTATAAAATTTCTAAGGTGAAACAAAATGGTATGGCCAAGTGAGCAAAATTTTATGTATATATATATATATTTCTTTGCAATATTGATTCTCTCTCCAGTAACACAGTTGCCTGGTGGGCTTGCAATAATAAAACATAACTTCTTTTTGCTTCTAAGAAAGGAGAAAGATGGGGCTGATGACAGAAATGACAGAACCACTATAACTGTGACGCCTACAAAAGAAAATCACAACAGAGATTCTCCAAATAGCTTTCTTTTTTCTGTGTAACTCCAGATATAACCAAGAGTAGGAACTGAGCCTTAGCTGAATTTTGTATGCACCTCTTGCTGCATTTAGTTTTCCTCCACCCCTGTTGAACATTTTTAGAAAATGCTATGGTGCAGGGAGGAGAGGATGCAACAAGGCACAGGTAATTCTGATCTTAGAAAACTTTCAGATGTTCCTTCTGTTGTGCAGATTTAGCATATTTTTAGTAAACAAGCCATCTGTTGTCTTGCAAGTGAGGATGCTGAAAGTCTAACCCACCCAAACACATGATAACAATGCTGTCTTTGTGGGCTTTCCATGCTTGGCAAAACACTGGCTAAAGAAAGCTAGACTATTTTCGTAAGAATTCTTGCACTTCATTAAAAAAAGCAATAATGTTGGATAAAGACAATGCTTGATTTAGAAAGCAGTTATTCCAACGAGAACTTTAAACAATGGACATTTGGTTGATGGCCTTCTCTTTATGTTATCTGCTGATAAGAGAAGGTCACCAAACCAAAAATTGTATCATTCATCAAATTCCCAATCAGGCCCCACTTAATGCATGGTGTCAGTGGTTTGCTGGATCACATTAGTTTAAGGTCTAGAGATCCTCCTGACATCTTCAGCAATTCCTTTCCTTTCTGATATCCAGCCAGGTCAGGAAGAAGCCTATCCTGGAATATGTATTCAAAGAGAAGGAACATCCAAAAAAAAAAAAAAAAGACTGTAGCTGTGATAGAACATCTGCTTTGTATACAGACAGCTTTCCACATTTCTGTCCACGCCTCCAGTTCCATCAAGTACATTTTGAGATGGTACAGCGTGATCAAGACTTTTTTGCTCCTACAACTACCTAGTTCAGGTTTTAGAGCTTTTCTAGAAGGCGTATGCAGTGGTGCCTCGCTTAACAACAATAATCCGTTCCAGGAAAATCACCGTAAAGCGAAAACATCGTAAAGCGAAAATAAAAAACCCATTGAA